TTCTTGTTGACTGTAGCCTTGAGCAACCAGTCTTGCTTTGTTCCTTTCAACTTCTCCTTTTTCATTAAGTTTATTTCTGAAAACCCATTTTGTTCCAATGACATTGAAACCTTTAGGTCTTGGAACCAGATCCCAGACTTCATTCCTTGTGAATTGATTCAGCTCCTCTTGCATAGCTAAAATCCATTCATTATCTTCCAAAGCCTCATCGACAGATGTTGGTTCTATAATTGACACTAAGCCACAGAAGGAAGATTCAGAAGTTCTGAGAAATGCTCTTGTCCTAATTGGATCATCTTTCTTTCCAATTATCACATCCTCTGGATGAGAAGCTTTCATTCTGGAAGAAGATCCTCTGACTGTTGGTCTTTCAGAAATATGCAGATTGTCAAGTTGGGAAGTTAGAGGCGTAGCATCTGGATTTGCTTCAGAGTCTTTGTCTTTAGTCTTGTCTGCCTCTGAGCCTTCAGAGTCTGTGAGAATAACTTCTCTATCTGCAGAACTTTCAACTTGCTTTGGCTTTTCAGAGCCAAGCTTATCATCAAATCTAACATGAATAGATTCTTCCACAATCTGTGTTTCAGTATTGAATACTCTGTAGCCTTTAGAGCGTTCAGAATAACCAAGCATGAAACACTTCTGTGCTTTGGAATCAAACTTGTTCAGATGATCTTTAGTGTTAAGCATATAACAAATACATCCAAATGGATGAAAATAAGCAATGTTGGGCTTTCTGTTTCTCTCACCTGAGAGTTTCCCTCATGAGTCATTTTGAGAGACTCAAACATATCATGAGCAGTTTCTCTGTTGGTAATCTTCTCATACTCTGTATGAGATATTGCATTAAGAAGTATGGTTCTGGCTTTGTGATGATTCTTGAATTCTTTCTTCTGCTCCTCAGTCATTGATTTTCTATCAATCTTTTTGCCATCCTTAGTAGGATGTTCATACCCATCAATGACTAAATCCCAGAGATCAGCATCATACCCCAAGAAAAAACTTTCAAGTCTATCCTTCCAATAATCAAATTTTTCTCCATCAAACATTGGAGGTTTGGTGCTGATTCTGTCTCCTTCATATTTGTTGCTTGATGTAGGAATATCACCCATATTAGCAACCAAATAAATAACAGAGTATTTTTCTCACTGGATCTTTATCTGTCACGGTTAAGCGAATGCACACTCAGAATCGGAGCTCTGATGCCAACTGAAGGTGAGAAAATACTTAGAAAGGGGGGGGGGGTTGAATAAGTATGACAGAAAATAATCAAAGATAAAACACAAGTATTTTTATCCTGGTTCGTTGAACTCAACTACTCCAGTCCACCCTTTTCAAGAGTGATTTGCCTTTCTCAACAAGGACTTAATCCACTATTCAAATCAACTGATTACAAATAGCAACACCTAAGAACAACTGTTCTTAGTCTTCTCAAGAGCTACTGATCTAACCTAGATCCTCTTAAGGAAAACTTTCTTTACAAATTAATGTAATACAATGTGAGAGTAATAAATTGCTTCTAAGAAAGCTATAAACACAACTGTGTTATTTCTCTAAGTTTAGAACAAATGTATGAACAGCAAAGAATATGAGAGCTTTTAGCGTGAGAGAGTTCTTGCAATAAGTTCGTCAATTTCGTCTTAATTCGTCACTTGAAGAATGAGCTATGATGTCCTTTATATAGCCACTTGAATATTGGAGAGAATATTTTACCGTTGGAGAAGATATTTCCAATATCAAAATAGTACTGTCCTTTGTACTATTGCAGCAGAGAGACGGCGCACAAAATGTGGGTGTAGCAATTGTCTGCTGAGCTGTGATTATACCATATATGGAATGTACCAGAGGAATAATCTTCTTGCAGAGAATTTTGTCTATCCCAATTAAGGAAAGATTTGCTGGCATATTCCAACGGATATATTAAAATAATCTTCTTCAAATAATTCTTCAGATAGTTCAGATCAACAATCAATATCAGAGTCTTCAGTCTTCAGAATCTTCTGGAAACTTCAGAGCCTAAGATGTTCTTCAGATGTTGCTGAATCAGAGTCTGGTGCAGCTGTGTGCTTGAAGCGTAACATGCTCTTAGATCAGAGTCTTCACTCAGATCAGAGTCTTCTCTCATTCAGAGTCTCTTCACTCAGAGTCTTCTTTCATTTAGATTCTTGATAATATATGCAGCGTGTTGTATCTTCAGAATCTTGATAACAAAGCTCTTATACTTCAGATTCTTCTAATCTTCAGATGCTCTTGAGCCATTCAGAATTTATTGTTCACATCAAATTTGCTCTTTAAGATTAAAATCTTTTGTGCCTGTAGAAAACAGTTTAGAACAAATTTAGAGAGTATAATTCTTGTATACAAATTATCATTAATGTTATCATCAAAACATAGAGATATTACTGAGACACAATCTGTGCTCTTACAGCGAGTTCTTACGCAAGGACGCAAATTCTAACACGAGGGCACAAATTTTAATGTCATGAAAGTTAACACACAAATTGAGATAGCACAGCGAAATTGTAACATGCAAGTTGTGATGAAAATCAAGTATGCGTGACGAAACGTGAAGCATGCAGAAATAGGCAATGAAAACGCAAAGTGAATATACGAAACGTAACACACGAAAATAATGTAACAAAATGTCGAGAAATCAACATGCATACCATAATCATAATCAACCCGCACATATCGAAATCGAATCAGGAATGAGCATACAAAATGTAACACGCATATTGAGTTAACATAACAAAATGAAATTTAACGTAACATAACAAAAAGTAACACGGTGACACAAAGGTAATGCATGAGTATTGTAAAGTAATGTAACATATTGCGCGAAACATAACGTCTAACACGACCAAAGAGCATGCATAGCATCACATATAATATCATTATATTAAACAAAAATCCAACAATGTTACATCTTTAAATATCATGTCGACTATGTGGATTTGATCCAATTTCAATGAAATAAGTGAACAGTAAATAGCAGCACGTACGAATTGAAAATATTACATCAATACAATAGCGTTAAGGAATTTAAACAAAATTCCATAAGCTTTACATCATACAAATCGTGTTGAATATCCGAAACGATATGATTTCGGCGCAACCGATGAACAAAAAATAGTCGCACATACGAATTGAAAATATTACATCAATACAACAACATTACAACATTTAAGCAAAAGTACAACAGCGTTACAACATACAAATCGTGTTGAATATGAGGAATGGTCAGATTTCAACACAACCAATAAACAACAAATAACAACAGATACAAATCGAAAATATTACATCTTACAGTAAAGTTACAAAATAAAAAAATCTAACAGATCCACAACAAAGATAACCGCACGCAATCGACATATACAACGAACAACAAATACACAAAAACACCATAGAAAATTTGATTTGAATATTACCAAAGAAAGAGTTGTGATGTTGAAGAAGATGCTTGTGTTGTTGTTGTTGGTGCAGTGACGACGAGTTATCGAAGTTGTGAATGAAGTGGCTCAGAGTTGGTGGTGTTGAGCACCGACTAGGGAAGGAATTCATGTGGTTGTATGGTTATGAAATGGTTGAGTTGTACGGTTGTGAACAGAGGGAGATGGTGGAACCGAGAAGAAGTTGGCAGTGTGGTGTTATTGATGCTTGTTTCACCGGAGTTGGTTGTAATGGTGGTGAATGAGTGAGATGAAGGTGGTATGAAAATTAATTATAGAGATGGCACATGAGTGCATCGAAAACACGGTTATACGATGGAAGCGAATTAGTGATGTGAGGTGAAGGTGTCCAGATGTGAATTACGACAAACAGAGTTATGGTGTGTTGGCGGTTATGCACCACTAACAGTGTATGCAGGCAGAATATGTGTTAGATTGTGGGAGTTGAGTGGTTCGAGTTGGTTGAGAGTGATGGATGATATGTTATGTTGTTGGTGAGTGAGGGAGGTGGAAAAGAGAAAAAAGAAGTGCAAGAGGTTGTGAAATGAAGAAGAAAATGGAGTTGTTTTCACGTGAGTTTGTTATGGAAGTAATATTCGAAGTTTATTAGAGTGGTGGTGAATGTAGTAGAGGGTATGGTGTGTGAAATGAAGATAGACAATATATTGAAACTTTGAAAGTGATTTTTCTATTTTTCCTATGTTGTAAGTGGTGAGATAAATAAGATCACCTTTTTTTCATTTTTCTATTTTTGATTTAAGGATTTGGGATTGTGAGAGAGAGTATTGGTAAGTGTGGTGCGACTACTGATCCCTTTACAAGGCCAACTAGTTAACACATATAGTAAATTTTTAGGGTTTGTATTTTTAATTAAATATTCACAATACGCTTGGGTCTAAATTGTGTGATCAAAATGAGTTTAATTAATGAAATAAAATCAAATATTTTTTTAATTAAAAAAATAAATCAAACTTTATTAATTTATTTGTTCTTATTTATTTTTCTTAGTTATTTTGATTAAAAAAAATAAAATAAAAATGAATTTAAATGAATAAAAATCGAGCACACAAATGCGCAAAAAATAAAATAAAATGAATGCACTAAAATAATCTATGTGAAATATAATTCAATTAAACAGATAGTCGCAGATCAAATCTTGTGATTAAAAATTCCAAGATGAAAAGGCTCAAACTAATCAAAATGCAATTACGCGAAGACGCGAAAAAATAAAATGAGCACATCAAATCAAACTACGTGTAATGTAGATTAATAAAATAGACAGTTGCAGGCCTAATCTTAAAAACATTGTTCATTGGTTTTACGTGTGGTTAAGAAATCGATTCAACCGGTTTGTCTATAAAACATATATTTTATTATAGACAAAGCAAAATAAAGTTGCTTGTCCGGAAATTTAAAATGCTTGGATAAAATTGGGGGTATGAAAATCATGCATAAAAAATGGGAGCTCCCATCTTAAAATCCACCCCATCCAACTTTGGTCTCTTACATAAAGGCTTACATAATCTATCATTAAAGCTATTAAAAACTAGATTCTTAATTTCCCCCACATCCTCCACCATCACATCCTCTAATTGCAATGATACCATTTTTCCTAAATTGAGATTTTATGAAGGAATGAAAGAATTTTGAATTTATATCTCCTTCTCTAATCCAACGACATCTCGATTTCAGCCTAATAAAATCTTCTTTGAAATGAAGTTTATGCCAAACTTGGTTTTGGGCCTCAATCATTCTTTCTCTCATAACCGGACTAGGTGATACCCCTTCATCCTTGATTGACTGATCAAGGAGATTGAGATTTTTGATTGCCTCTTCCACATCTAGATTCACTTTCTCAAACACCTTCAAATTCCAAAGTTTCAGTTTTGCTTTAAACATCTTCAATTTATCTTTGAAAACAAACATATTTTTACTAGTTATATTAGCTGAGCTCCACGCTTCTACGACCAATCGGAGGAACTCAAGATGATCAATCCACCCTGAAAAGAACTTGAACGGCTTTCGGCCCCAATATAGAAAATTTTCTCTGATCGTCACTAGACAGTGATCAGATATGGCCTTGTCACCCACAAATTGACCTCTTAAACTCCATTTCTCAGTTAAGCGTTCAGAGAGAAGGAACCAACCTAGTATGCTCATTGAATCACCTGCTATATTGAACCATGTGAAATTGCTCCCCACGGTTGGCAGATCAAACAAATCCATATCACTAATGAACTCATTGAAATCTGACATTTCCAAGTTGATTGAGTAATTGTTAAAACCTTTTCTCTCACTAGACCTCTTGACTACATTGAAGTCACCCCCAAAACACCAATTTCCAGACTCAAAAGAAGCTTTCAGATAGATTAACTTTGACCATATTCTTCTTTTAGTGCTAAGAGATCAAGAAGAGTAAATATTTACCACATATACGAGCGATCCTTTACATGATATCTAAATTCCTATAAAACCTTCGTCTTCAAAACTAAATAGAATTTTGAAGGACCCGGGCTTCCACATGAGTAAAATACATCCAGATCAACCAATTTCCCTCTTAAAAGGTCACATAACATCAGGACTACCCCATGACTTCTGAAACATGGACTCCTTTACAATATTCAATTTTGTCTCTCGCAAAAAACAAATATACGCCCTTTATGAAATGATAAGCTTCTGAATGGACTTATGCTTGGAAACATTCCCACAATACTGAATATTATATGAGAGTAGATTCATTTGACCCCTTTTGAGTTATCTTCCTTCGATCTAAATCTTCCATAATCTCTACCGTCCACCATCTTAATTTCTTCCACATATGTTATATCATCATATTGGCCTATAATTCCAATCTCTGACGCTTTCTTCCAAACATGCACTAATGAATCCTCAACTTCCTTTGCCCAAAATCTCGCATAACCTTGAACCATATTCAGGTCCGATGTGAATTCATAGCAAAAGGTTGATCCATCTGAGAATTTGTCTATCGGGGACAATGTTGAATGGGAATGCGAAGTCAATGAGGAGTTAATTTCTTTTATAGGTTTAGGAGGAATAAGGGAGATGAAGTATCAATGATTTGTGAATGAAAGGGATTTGGACTTCAGAGCAATATGAGCCTTTAGAATCTTAAATGTTTCTCCCAAATACCCTAGCAACTTAATTTTCCTATTCGGTTGGGCCACTAATGATGGAGGACCAGCAGACCCGAAAACAACAATTTGAAGGCTCATATCCAGAGATGGCCTAATTGAACTAGGACTAGGATGATCCAAATAAACCAAAGGAGAGCCCATACAACCATGTCTAGATAAGTCACACATTTTTTGGTTATTTGACTTTCATAAATTGATTTTCCCACATTTGTTATATGATCTAGGTAATAAGACTATAGGTACAATTTGGTTTGAAACCTCCTCAGGGAACTTTTCCATCCTACCTACCAACTCTTGACAACTTTGCAACCTAGTATCATCTTTTCCACCGTTGTAAAGTGACATGTCATGATTTGCTAACTTCTATGGGGACTTGCCAACATCTAAAGTGTCTTGGGAACCATATTTCCCTGTCTTCACCATCCGACCCACATCTTTATTCTCCATCTCTAGAAATTCATTTATGCCCTCATCCCAAAGTTTTTGCGATTTTCAAACTCTTCACTCGTATAATCTTCGTAATCCTCTGAGATTGAATTTGATCTTTCACTTGAATGAGTTCTCAAAGAAGACTGAAGATCTTCCATCATTTTAATGCTGAAGGTAATGCCATTTATCAGAGCCTCAAATTCTCCCGAAAACTATAAGAGTGAGCTTGGTTTTCAAAAGGATTTGTGCCACATCGAACTTAGCTTCTTTCCTTGTGATGTCGTCTGCACAAAGGAATTCCCCTACTGAAGCTACCAATGTTTGGAAGAACTCCAGTATCCATGCTTGACACGATATACCATAACAACGCAACCACAAGATTCTTTCCATATCCTCATTCATAGGTATCCAAGGCCTCACCTCAGAGAACCAGTTCCTAATCTAAACCCTTTCCTCCTTTAGAAAATCATACATTCCGCCTTCTATCTTCTCTTCCAGGAAACATAAGTTAGGACCAAGTAGAGTGGCTAGAACTGAGGAAAAACCCTTCGTATTGAACATTTCTTACATGCTATAGGTCGAGCCTGGTTTTACCACCACACCAACATGGGCATTTATGAATATGATGAGGTCCTTATCTTCTAGATTAAAGATAACTGTTTTATTCTTTTCCATCTTAGATGTTCCCACTTAATATCTATGGACTTCAGCATACGATGTTCCTCCACATGACCTTGCTGGATCTTCAATTAAGTTGGGCTTTGCGTTATGGACCAATGATGTCTTCTTCCTCGCCATGTTACTTGTAGGCTCTACTTTCTCCTCAACTTGACGAAACCTTCTTTGAAACTTGCGGAGATTCACAAATATCTTTTTCTTATCAATAAATAAGTTGTACACCTTAATGGCTAGTAACTCTTCATCTACAACATCAAAAAAATCTTATGAATATGTATTTTGTTTATCTACTATCTTGTTTGGAAGGGATAACTACTTCATCCGCATTCCCAATTCTTTGAAAATCTTCATACATGTCCCTTGCTCCGTATTTCTCCGAGAACTCATTGAAGTAGATGGATTTCTTCCTTCTAGTTTGGCTTTCAGATTCCCTTCCTTTCTTTCCTACATTATCTCACTACTTCCTAATTGCAGAGTGATGCCTTTTGCGATACCATACCTGCCAACATTCGATGTCGTTAATGGAATTTTCCACTTGATACATGCAAACCTTGATTGAGTAAACCTATGGTTTATGTTGTGTGTGTGTGTGTGTGTGTGTGTGAGAGAGAGAGAGAGAGAGAGAGAGAGAGAGAGAGAGAGAGAGAGAGAGAGAGAGAGAGAGAGAGAGAGAGAGAGAGAGAGAGAGAGAGAGAGAGAGAGAGAGAGAGAGAGAGAAAGAGAGCATCATTATTATCTTTTGCAAGTCATGTTATTTTAGTTTTTTTAAGAAATGGATGGTAGACGATTTTCATTATAAATATATTGCATTAAACAACATTATTTTTTTTATTTTCAATATAATTTAATAAATAAATTTTTTCATGTTTAGCGACACCAATATATTATGTTTAAATCCGCTCCATCATGCAAAATGTATATGAATGTGCGTAATTGATTACAAAAAAGTACAAAAAAATAAAAACGTACTAAATTTTTTTAAATATGCAAATGTGAGGAAAGAAATTTTAGTTTTTTTTCCCCTTTATTTTACTTTAAAGATAATATAGTTCTAATTTATATGCAATGTATGAGTGCTAAATATAGGTTAGGCTGTCTGATAAAGACTATACTAAATTATAATCTTACAAGTTTTCCAACTAAAATTTTATTTATAATAATAATAATAATAATAATAATAATAATAATAATAATAATAATAATAATAATAATAATAATAATAATAATAATAATAATAAAAGGTGTGAATTAACTTCCTTTAAAAAGTAATTTTTTTTTTAATTTAACCTAAATCATAACTTTTGAATTGAATATCATAATAATAATATTTTATATAATTTCAGTAACTCCTAACTCCGCTAACAATAAAAATTAAAAAAAGACTAAATCATCCTAATCCCACTAACTTAGTTACTTTCAATTATTCTTAAAATTTCCATCTATCACTATAGCAATTATTAATTACTAACGTTCAGACGGGCACGCGTCTGTCCGCTTTTTTATTGCACACATGTATAAATATAAATTATATTTATTTATTTAATATTAATTTTAAATAAAAGTTATGTAAAAAGTTATTAGTAAGAAGTTATATATAAAAATGACAGTAGTAGTTCAATAAAATTTATTGTGTAAATTACATATTTTAAAATAAGGATAAAATTGGTAAAAAAATTAGGCTACACCAAAAACTAAATATTGCTTTATATATATTATAGATTATAGATTATTAATTTACTATTCCACTAAAATTTTTTGGCATTCACTTGCCTTCTTTTTGCCAAAACTAAACGTTAATAATTTGGTAGGGATTCTCTCGATGGAAAGTTTCCATCGAAAGAATCCAGTGTTAATCTTTACCATTCAAACAATTTTCAAATGATTTTATAACCTGCAATTAAATAAAACCAACAATGGTAATTGCACTGGACATAAACTTTAGCGGGAGAGAATCCTTTTCCAGATGATTTCTACCAATATATATATATATATATATATATATATATATATATATATATATATATATATATATATATATATATATATATATATATATATATATATATATATATATATATATATATATATATATATATATATATATATATATATATATATATATATATATACAACAAATATACAAATAAGCAAGTAAGGGGAAACCGTCGAAAGCAAGTCCTCAGTGAAGTCATCATTTCTGTCGCGGTGAGAATTGAATATCAAGCTATGAATTAACTTGAATCACAAATCATAATTCACCACCGATCTTTAATTTATTCAAAGGAAGGGAAAAATAACGAATAAACCTAAAATATGCAATGCAATGCAAAGCAAAGCAAAGAGAGTCTAAGGTTCGGAGGTTGGTTATAGGTGCTAGCATCCTAAGTATATGTAGTACTCTACATGAACCTCTTGTTTTTTTTTGTGTTTTTTGTTATTTGTCTGCTAAGGGTGAAAAAGATGAAGAGAGACCTAAGGTGTTATTTCTAAGTATGCTCCCTAAGACATCGCATCTCGTGCCTACGTATCCTGATGGGAATGGAATCAGAGCATTCGTAGTTCTTCTAAAAGGATGGATAAAAACTTATTGATTGGCTTTAGGAGAAAAGACAAGTTGTCATATTAAGGAGAATACTCAATTTAAACCACCACAAACATGTGGAAGACGAGTCTTTGCTTTGCATTAGGAGAAGGACTCCAACTCGGATATAGAATCGACGAGTATGCCACATACCTCTCTCAAGTGGAAAAGAATCAACATCTTTTTCAACTATGTCATGGGGTAGGAGAATTACATCTCAAATAAGGATGACTAGTGTCTAATTCTCTCATGAGAAAAAGTGAACTAACTGTAAGTTATCTATAGTTGAAATGGTAATCTTAAAGGAGACTTCCTAAGGGATAGCAAGTTCTAGGATTACAAGAAGTATATACAAGAAGATACAAAACGCAAATAAAAATGTA